GGACAAGCCAAAAGCAAGAAGGATAGAAGGAAACAATGAATAACATATTTAACAAGCTTTTGTAAATGGATGGCAGAACAGGGAATGTGAAGGGTTGCAAAAAGACAAATGTTGCTAAGAGCTACAAATAATAGGAAGTTGTAGAGAGTCATGATAGCTGATGTCCTGAAAAAACACAGCATACAGAAGTGTTTCAAACAAAATAGCTACTTTATAAGTAACAGTTTATATTTTATGAGGATAGAATAATTTCAGTATTGGTTATTGTCTTTAATTTTTATTTTAGGTGAAATAAAGATGAGGGAGACAGTGTGGAGTAATAGATAGCGGCTTGGATTGAGGAATCAGAGAGCTGAGTTCAAATTCCAGTTGAATCCATGACATTCACTTACATGCTAATACCCTTGGAAAAGGTATGAATCCTCTTCTTCTTCCTCCAGCTATGGGTAAATAGCAGGACAGACTGGATTTTATAGACTTGGATCGCAACTGGTCTACTGCAGAAAGAAATGGCAACAAACTGCAGGAAAAAAATTGCCTCGTCAGTCATGTATCGAAAGATACATGATTGCCTAAGCATGTATCATGCATGGCGCATAACTGACTGAAGGACGACAAAGCAGAAAGGTTTTGTGTGACGTGTTTCATCTTTTAGGACTTCATTGGACTAAGTTTATGTTGATGTGATTACACATGTGAATGAATGAGAGATGCTGGAAATTTTAAATTTAAAAGTCATTCATTTTTTTTTAATATGTGTTTTGGATATATTATCTAGCTAATTTCATTTAGATTCATTTTCTTTCTGTTTCCATCCCTTTTGTTATAAAATATCGTACATTGTGATAACAGAAGATCTGCCAAAAATAACAAAAGTTTGTAAGAACCTTGACACAAATTTACTGTGAATAATCTACTGATTAAAGCACTTTCTAAACATCTGAGTAAATAGTTCTCTCTTTTAATTAGCAAATTGTTTTCTCTTTTAATTGATTTTTATGTTTATCAGGTGTGCTTTATTTTATAACATTTGTTGGAAACAGAGAATGCATGAAGAGACACATTTTATGAAGAACTAAGCAGGCACATACAAGTTCTCTGAGAAGATGTTTGAGCATCTTTAGAACATAGAGTTCAATGTTATGTACCTATAACATAGAATTACCAAGTGTCAAAGGGAAATATTTAGTGTGAAAGATTGTGTAGTGATATTAGTTGATAGTATTGTGAATGAATAATGTTTCCTCAAACAGAGTAAGAATAAATGCACAAACTATTATGAGAAAAGTAAATAGAGACTATAGAAAAATGTGTTTATATAGAGATGTCCTTTTTCATATATATGTGTTCAATGAACTTCCTATGAAGTATTGAGAAAATATTTCTTTGTTGGTTTGGTAGAAATATTAGATGAATGTGGGTGTAGTGAAGTGAGCTTAGGGCAGTGTATGCTATTTACTGTTGTGATCAATTCAATATTAGGTTTGATGTTGGCCAAAAATCTCCCCTAGAGGGGAAATGAAATTTCTCCTATCTCTAAGGCACCCTGTAGGGAGAGAGAGAGAGAGAGAGAGAGAGAGAGAGAGAGAGAGAGGTTTGCATCCTTTTTCTATGCACTGATTTTTGTGACATCAGCTTGTGGTTGCTAGCAAAATGTCTTTTACAGACAAATGAGATAATCCCACATAGCATATAAATTAGTTAGTCACTGGTTCATGACTGTTAGCATAACTAAAATACTTATAAAATTTTAACTAATTTTAATCATTTGATCTTTGTTCTAAATTGAATGTTATGATTTGTTAGTCATTTAATTCATTATTAGCAGCCACAATTTTCACAATATCTTTCTTTTAATCATTTCAGCCCAAGCAAGGCAATGAAGCCACTAAGATGCAAGGGGGTTGATGAGTGTTAGAGAATATAAGAAAAAAACTATTACAGAGAGAAAACAGGAATTAAGAAGACAGAAGATAATGAAGGTAGAAGTTAAAAGTGTGATAGAAAAAACTATCAGCATAGAACTTAAGTTTTACATCTAGACAATTCAACTTTAAAATGATGATACATTGTTATCCATCTAGTACCGTGCTTAAATTCATAAAGTTTAGGTACCATAATTCATAAAGTTTAGGTACCATAATTGTTCATCAGAACAATTACCGTGAAAATATTTAGAGAAAAGGTTCAGGGCATCTACATTGCAGCACTGGGAAAGTGACTGAAGCTGAGATGCCAGATCTGGACCAATAAAATTGCAGATTCATATTTAGATTTTTTTTAAGAACTTCTACATATATAGCAGGAGCATCTGACCAGATGTGGAAACAAAGGAAGCATGACTAGTAGACTTATAAATATGTAAGAAAGATTCTGGTGAGAAAAATTGCTTAGCATAACACAGTGAACCAGCTTTCCTATCAGGAAATTTAGCAATTGATTCAATATAATATTTTCATTTCTTGTCAGAAGAAAACGTTTGTCCAAGAAGGCTATAGAATATAAGATATCCAGATCCAGTTGCTATTAGACATGGAAAGGAATCTATAAGCATTCCTAAAGAAGATTGTAAAGGAAAGTGAGAAGAAAGGAATAAACATCAACTGTAGGAAGAAGAAAATTTACAAATATTTACAAATGTCAGCAAAAGGAACAGCCTAAGATGTGAACTATGAATTGCTAACACCAAAATCAAGCAAGTACAAAAACTTAAATATTTGAGAAGTGATTTAACAGAGAAAAGGGGGTGCAACTATTAAATTCAAAGCTGCATTGGAATAACAAAATACACCTCCCAAAAGTTAAGCAAGGTGTTAAGAAACAAGAAAATTTCATTAGAAATAAAGAAAAGAGTATTGGACTATTATGTAATATCAAGCCTTCTATATGACAGTGAACATTGAACAATCTCCTGACAGATAAAGAAGAGATTTGAGACAACATAGATGTGGTTTTACAGAAGAATGCTGATAATACCGTAGGCTGAATATGTGAGCAATGAGAATTTTTTTAAAGAAAATGGAAACAAAAAGGATACTTGTATTTAGCATCAGAAAGAGAGAGTTGTAAAGTGCATATAATGAGGAAAGAATGCTTAGAATATTTGACACTCACAGAACATATTGAAGGCAAGAGGAAAGCAGTTAATAACCTACTTAACAAGCTTGTGTAAATGGTTGGCAGAACAGAGATAACAAAAAGACAAACATTGCTAAAAGCTACAAAGGACAGGAAGTTGCAGAGAACCATGAATAGACAAAGCACAAGGCTAAGAGTGGATCAGGAAGGCGGGTCTTCATCTATCTTATATTTAAACTTAGCTAGCTGCAATCATTCTACAATATTTCTTACACTAAAACAACACTTACTTACCATTCTTACTACAATCACCACAATGCCACTATGTCTCTATAAAGACCTAACTAGTTTCTATATGCACAATTTGCCTGTAGGCAAACACTAAAATAAACCCCAAGGCATATTTACAATGAAAAAATCCTATTTACAAAACTATACAAAATAGTGTTAATAATAATAAAAGCCCCCACAATCCAGTTAAACAGACAAAATTGATACACAATTGAATATAATAATTGAAACAATCACTCAACCAAGCACTTATCCAGATGAAAAATAAATACAAAAGCATGCATTAAAAAATGAAAAGTGTCCCACATCCACCAGAAAACTGACATTTCTGTCACCTAACCGGGGAGGGGAGATGGAACTAAACTAAAGAAGGTGGGGAAAAAATAAAAAGAACTGATCAATATATGCACATTAGCTAAGTTAACTTAAAGGGAAGAAACTAAAGAAAAGAACACCCTAATCTACTCTGTTTTTGACTGGGTTGCCTAATGTTGTGTCCAGATGACCAAAATTCTTATGCCTAACTGGCATCAAAATGTCACTTCAGGTCAGCTCCTTTCACTTGACACATATGCAAAAGACTCATCCACCTTGTGCAGATTCCATTGAAGAGAGTAGCTGTTTTTCCTTTCTGATCTATGAATTTAGGCAAATCAGTTCCAACAGGGGAACAAAGATGGGTGACTGCCTCAAGTTCAGTTCATAAGGAAGATCATCTAATCCTGGTCAACAAGTTTTGTTCTGGTTAACAAGTTTCAGTGCTTCCCAGATCTCAGGCTCTGTAATGGCACCCAGCTGCTTCAGTGGACTCGAGGCAGGGAAAGTTAACTAAATAGGTGTCAAACAGGGCAGGGCTTAGACTGGGCTTCCTGAAAGTAATTTTGAAAAGCCTAATATATGCCCACATTTGTATTCATGGTTTGCCCATCCAGTAATGTGACATGTGGTATGTTGACTGGACGCATACTGAAGTTCAGCAGCTATATTCGTTTCCTTGGAAAACATTCATTTTAACCTAGCTTGAGCTTGTTAGAAGTTCTTACGGAAAAGGGTAGACTCATTTTTAATTAGCATGTGGGACAGTTAATTCAATAATATTTGTTAACTAAGGGAAAAGAATTCAATCCTTAAAAAGATTTGTATTAACAATCCCCATAATAATTATTTGAAAGGTAACAGAGCATAGTTAACAAAATATATTAGTCTGAAGAAGTCCTTTCAAAGGATGAAACACATCATATAAGGTTTTTTCTAATTTCTCATTCAATTATCCACCATTAGTTTGATATATAAGGTTTAAATATTATATTCTCTCATATATCACTGTCTAGAGGTGAAATAGGTTGATTGAGTGTTGATTCATTTTCTAAGGTTTATCAATTTATTTCAGGTTATTTAAAGCCAGAAAATATTTTTAGATTATAAGAATCTTTTTTTTCTTTTTGGAGATAATAATGGTTTAGTGATAAAAGTTACTAATTAACCCATAGCTAGTGGGAGAAGAGGTAGATTCATACCTTTCTCAAGGCTATTTGCATATAAATGAATATAACAAACCCAAAGTAAATTAGAACTCAGCCCTCTAATTAACAATTACAAGCCATTATCCATTATACTTTCTACATCCAAACTTACAGCACCTGGTATTCCCAAGCAGTTAACCATCTAGGTACTGACCAGCTTGATATTGCTTAACTTCAGTGATTGTATGGGAATCAGTGTTTCAATATGATATGGCAATAAACCTGTTATGATAGAGATCGGGTACTAGTATAAGTGATACTAGATAACAAAATGGCTGAACATTTTGAAAACGTTATCAGAATATTGACTACAACCTACTAGCCTGATATACACAAGACAAAATTGACAGAGTCCCTCAAGTATGTATATCTGTATATAAGTATATAAGTATATAAATGTATATAAAAACAAATATTTTAATATTCATAAAATGTTTGTTTATACTTACATTTATCTATGTTTTTTTTGCTTGTTAAGTAATTACTTTTACTTTACCTACCTTTCTTTCCCTCTTTTGACAGCAGGTGTAACAGGCACAAATTACCAAATCAATTCAACCTACTTGTGGCATTACTGACCTCTTCTCTGAAATGAGTCAACCTCAGATATTGAGGTTTGAATATGTGAGGAGAATTTTTTTTTACTTATGGCGAATTGAAATTTACAAAGTGATTATCTGACAGGAAATTGTCAAAACACGTGTGCAAAAATGCAAAACTCACACACACAAGCACAAACATATATATACATATATAAACATACATGTATCTATATTGATATATATATATATATATATATATATATATATATATATGTTTAGCTTTGAAATATGTATATAAATGGATAAAAATAAATGCACACACTATGAACAACAAATATATATATGTGTGTGTGTGTGTGTCTCCAGTTTATAGATAAATGTATATATATTTAAATATATTTACATATATATATATATATATATATATATATATATATATATATATATATTTGTGTGTAAGTATGAATGTAAGTATATTTATACAGGTATATTAGAGAGTATAGGTATGCAGGTAACACTAAAAAATATATATATATATATATATATATATATATATATACAGAAATATATATGCATATGTATGTATATACAGAGAGAGTGAACAAACAATGTATTAATAGAGATGGAAACATATCTATCTCTCTCTCTCTCTCTCTCTCTCTATATATATATATATATATATATATATATATATATATAAAAAGTCTGTCTGTATTCTGAGATGAAGTATTGTAATTGTTTACACCATTTACTTTGTTTGGATTCCTGTCCTCATCTTTGTTGTGATATTCACGTTTCAGCCATTGTACATTCCGGTTCTCTTCTTCCGGTATCTTAAACTGAACCCTTTATTTTATTAATACACACACACACAGTTGTCCTAATCTTTGTTGCCATATTCACAATACTTTAGTTGCTGTCAACTGCACAGTATAGTAGGGTCAGTTGGGCACCATCTGTGAGAAAAAGAGCACCATGATGCAATTCACTCCACCAGAAATTTGGAAATGGTATGCTGTACTGCTTGACATTTGTGCCAGAAGCTCTAATATGAACATTTCAGAGTGTTTGTCAATCTGAGGACAGTGCAGAGGATTCATAAAGAGTTGGATCTGTCTAATGGTGATTACAAATGTATTTAGAGTGAGCACTAGTGATGGAAATGTTATGCCTCCATTCATCTTCCCACTGAGCCTCATACTCAACATAGAGGCCTACATCAAGTTCCTTGAGGAGTTAGTGCTTCCCTGGGTCAAAAGGGTGGCTGCTGGAAGACCCTATGTCTAGCAATGGGACTCTGCACCATGCCACACAAACAGGAGAAGCCAGCTATTGCTGCCAGACAACTTTTGTGACATCATCCCTTACATCTGGCCACCTAATTCACAAGACTGCAATCCACTTGATTATTATATATAGGGTAAATTTGAGTTTAGAGACCACCAAAACTCCTTATAGCACCAAAGATATACTGAAGGCAAGAAATATGGCAACATTCACCAGCTTAAACAAATAGACTATTCAGAAGTCATTTGTGGTTGAAGCCAATGGTGATTTTATTGAATAAATTTACTCTTTAGTATTTCAAGATATTTTTAAACAATTTTGGTATATATATATCCATTAAAATGAAATGTCAATGTTATTTTCATTTTTGTATAATTTAGATGAGAATTTATCCATCGCACCCTGTATATGTTTTTACATTTTTTTTTAACCTTTTCACCTCAAGCAAGGTGATAATGCCACTAAGACACAGTGGGATACAGTGTGTGAAACTGAATGAGAAAACTTTAGTGAGGTGACATGAGGAAAGAACAATAAAGGAATAGGGGTTCAGGAAAATTGAAGATTAGGATTGACATTGCATTTAAATTTTTGAAGTTTGTAGGTTGCAGGGAAGCATAATTGAATATAACAAACCCAACAGGAATTGTGATTCAGCTCTGCAATTAACAATTTTGAGCCAATATCCATTACACTACCTGCAGATCCAAGACTATATCACTTGGTTTTCCCAATCAGTCATCTATGTAGATACTGACTAGATTTGATGTTGCTTAACTCAGGGGATCATACGGGAACTGGTATTTTAACAATATGTGGTCATAAACAAAGATATATTTTTAGTTACATCTGAATTTTGCATATACATATATACATATGCATATATACATACATACATATATATATATATATATATATATATATATATATATATGTATGTGTGTGTGTGTGTACGTATACATATATATGTATATGATTTATAAATTATATTCATACTTATATATATATATATATATATGTATGTGTGTATGTGTATTTGTGTGTGTGTGTGTGTGTGTGCATATATGCATAAACATGAGTATGTGAATACACACTTTTATGACTAGAAAATATGGAATTAGATGGATACCCATGATGTAACTTGGCAATCAAAAAGATGCTTATTATTTCACACACTCTTCCATGGGGTGACTCAAACAGCAGTATGCTCATATGTTGTGTGACTTGCATTTATATCAAATATGCATCAAGCTTTGTTTGAAACTTTGACATTCATCATTAAAAATGTATTTGAATGATGGAAACTTCAATGAGTAAAACTTGGCTATAATTTTGATTCTGGGACAACAATCTTTGTTGAGAATCCATTGCAAGTAATCCACATTAAGAAATGGCAAAAATGTTGAACACTCGTTTATTGTAATGAAAAGAAATTGGTGAATGAGAGGATTTGAAGAATTGGAACTTACACAGATGGCCCAGAAAGTATTTGGCTATTATATACTTAGTCTCTTCAAAACATAGGTTCTTCACAATTTCCTGTGTTGTCGCCTCCCCCTGTTTTTTTTACAAATACTTTCACAGTAACTGCTCCGATGAGCTGCTTTCGCTGATTCCTAGACTTAATGAATTTAAGCGTTTAACTAGGCTGGCATCTCGCTCTCACCACTTCACTGTCGAAACTGTTAAATGTAGCCGTCTCTTCTACTTCAATAGCTTCATGTCTCGCACTTCTCGCCTGTGGAACTCCCTTCCCTCTTCCTGTTTCCCTGATAGCTATAATCTCCAACTATTCAAATGTAATGTCAATTGATGTCTCCAGATGCCTTGATCTATCCATTATCCTTCTCTTCATCCTTTCCTCTATCACTCCTATTTGCTCCCACTCCAACTCTCTGTAAACCCTTGTGTACTAGTGGCTTCTCGTCTTGCTTGAGGTGAAATGCTTAAAAAAAAAAAAATAAAAAGCTCTAAGCAATTTTTGTCCCTATACCATTCCTCTCAGTCCATGTTTTGCTGTATAACTATAACAAGTATTTTCCTCTACCTTTCTTACATCAAATTCACTAAACTTATCTTCATTATGTGTTGTATAAATTTCAACTGTCTTTTTTTTCTAAGCACAAATTTTCAAAAAATAGATGTTTATAGACAAATCATTCAATATAAAGAAAATATCCACCTATTTCGATTTTCTGCAGGAAGTTTTGGCAAATTTCCACACATTCCAGATACAATCCTTTGATATCATATGCAAATACACTTGCTGAACTTATCATGTAGACATTCAAATATCAGACAAATTCATTTACATACATTGCTAATTAGTATGCACCTGTAGACTGACTTTGTATTTATAGATAATTATCTGATGAGAAGATATGAATCTCATCTATATGGTTGATAAGGTGGGCAAAAAAGTGGGTGTCTCAGAGCTGAGAATTCAGTATTCATATCAGACCAAAATTTCAAAATATATATATATATATGGATAGATAGATAGATAAGCACTGGATGGTCATTTAAATGGTGGTCCAGTGCTTTCTACAAGGTGCCTCAGAGGTTTCATGTATGATTTCATTTTCAAGTCTTTTTTACTGCTCCTTGGACTGTCATAACTGAAACTTTTCTCTCACATGCCAAACATCTTATGTGTCTTAAGTTGGATCTTTTCTAATTGATCTCTTTAGCTCTAAGTTGAAATGATGATCCCTCTTTCTGTTGTGACTTCCTGATCCAGTTTTCCTCTCTGTCCCCTCTTTTTTAAACCTATTCACCATTCTCTTGAAGGTTCTTGAATGGACTTTGAAAATGGAAGCCAGAGTATGAATGTTGGTACCATTACTGAAGCCCTGAATGATCTTTTTACTCTCACTTAAGAAGATGGTGGGGCTGACACAAAATTATGCTGTTACATGATAATGAACAATTTTGCTGTTACACCCAGTTATTATTATTATTATTATTCATTATTATTGTTTTAATTTTTTCTCAAAGTGATTTTCTTTATAAATTTTGCACATATTTTATAATTATGATTATTAATTTTAATGTAATATTTTTAAAATTTCAATAACCTAGCAAATATTGTTGAGGTTAGAAAATCCAGAAAAATCCAGAAAAACTTACATCAGAAGAATGACTTGTTGTTTAGTATATTTTGTGATGTGCCGCAGCTGTTAATAATTAAGTAAACTCAAGACATCAATTTTAAAATAAAACAGTATTTAATTACAGCCACAAATAAATACTTAATAAGAACAAAGAAGTAAAAGTTGACCAAAGATAATTAACTATTTCAATGAATACCTTCTTAGTAGTACAGCTTGGCTTAATGTATGGTAAATCCTAAATCAAAACCCAAAACATTGATGCACAATCATTCACACTAATTTGACTGGATAGTTCCACTCAATAATCACTGGTCGGAAACATATATTCATTAGTCCAGAGTGTCATGCTCAAACCTTGATGTTGGTAGTTACTCATTTTCTTCCTATATGATAGTATAATTAGTAAACATTTAGTATATTTCATGTATATTATATGAAATATCCTGTATATTGATAGTGCAAATATTTCCATGAATCTCTTGATTCATTTTGTATGATGGACACTCCTGTCACTTTCAACAATAGTTTAGTTCTTAGAACCAAACAGCAAGACTACCCACACATATGATTTGATTATAGTGGTGAAGGCTAGTTCAGAATGAACCACACTTTTTGGAATAACTGAACACAGAGGATGCCTCTATACACCCTCCACAGGTTTTGAATTCAGAATTGTCCTTCTCTTAGATTGGTTGCAAACCAAGGCTAATGAGAACAGTCTGCACAACTAATTTGCCCACTCATAGCTAGGGAGAAGAAAAGAAATGGATTCATACCTTTCCCAAGAGTATTTGCATATAAATGAATGAAATGAACTTGACTGGAATTCATAATATCCTCTCCAATTTCTCATTCTGAGTCACTATTCATTACACCTCCACCAACACACACAATGTATATATATATATATATATATATATATATATATATATATATATATATATTTCTTGTTTGCTCTATTTGTAATAAACATTATTAACTACATTTACTGGCCTGAATATCCAAGAAATTTCATAGAAAATATGCATCCTATGATATGAACCGAGCCTGTATCCTACACAGGACTGTCATTTCACCTGATGTGCTATGCCATTTAGCCACAGAAGAAGCGTCTGATTAGCAAAGTCAAATTACTGTTTTTAAACAAGAATTTTTCATGATTTTTCTTGAATGATAATATCTGCTCAAAGCATATTTTAATGCAAACAAATAACAACATATATAATAAAATGGACTAAGTCTGACAATTATTTTAATATATTTTCTGTTTATACATTATTTTTATAAATACAAATATCTAAGTAAATTCTCTATTTATAATAAACAGTATTAATGACATTTACCAACCTGAATGTCCAAGAAATTTCATAAAAAAGATGTTTCTTCCAACTGGAATAGAACTTGTATTCTACATGGAACCATCATTTGGCCTGATGTGCTATGCCATTTAGATACAGAGGTAGTGTTTTTTTAGCAAAGTCAATAATTATCAGATGTGTGTATATATATATATATATATATATATATATATATATATATAAGTGGATACTGAAGTCAACATCAATATGACCCAATGACTGCATTTAAGCATGAAACACACTGTTGCCTCTGGGGTTGACATCAATGTTCTTTTTAAATTTATATACACTCTATCCATGACAATGAAGACTCTAACCCAGAAATATAGCATACCACAAAGCTATTTTTTACCATATATATATATATATATATATATATATATATATATAATTTAGGGAGCAAGAATTAATTCTAACAGTTTTTATTATAAGCCATGATGGAAACTTCTTGGCTAAAAGTTCAATACATTCTCCAAATTCTGAGAAAGAAATTGAGAAAAAAATGTTTGTTTACTGAAATACTAAGTTTGGGAAGTGGGTCAGGCTGAGAACTTTTCAGCATCACCTTCATATATATATATATATATATATATATATATATATATAGTTTATTTACAAAATATCAAAATCTTGAATCTTTATGTATAACACCACCCACACAGACATGCATGCACACACACACACACACATACATACACACATGCAAGTGCGCAAGAATATATTTGCATGAATGTACACATATGTGTATTTGTGAACACATGTGCTGATACATGCATGCACCCATGTTCATATGGATTTTTAAAAAATTAACTTTGCTTCTTTTCAGTTATTCTGGCACTTAATTAGAGAATTTTCTATTAAAATTTTGCTGGGGATTTTCTCATCAAGCTTTAAAAGGAAAGGAAAAAATAACGTTGCTGAATTTCCAAATCAGGAAGAAAATTGAACATCTGAAAATTTTAGTTCAAGGCTACCAGCAACTGCAGCAGCAGTTGGTTGGTGGTGTGTGTGTGTGGAGGTAATAAAGCGGGAGGAGAGAATAATGGCGGGGAGAAAGGAACGGAAAATGCAGAAAAGTGGAAGACAAATGAGATAAGAGGGTGAAATAGAAGAAAAGAAAGAAATCTTTAACTTAGAGATAAAGAACATGAAGAACATTATACTGAAGAAGAAGAAATTAGAAGAAGAAGAAGAAGAAGAAGAAGAAGAAGAAGAAGAAGAAGAAGAAGAATATAAAAAAGGGGAAAAATACAGTCTCAAAGCTTTAACTCTAGTTTTATAATACAATCTGTTGGGATCTACACAAAATAAATGAAAGATTTATCAATGTTTCTTTGCCTGATATTTGTTTCTTCCAATCTCATTAAGTTATCTATGATAGTTTTTAATGATTATTTCTCAAACTGTGTTAAGCTGGGAAAGGCGTAAAATCCAGCATTTGATAAATACATTAAAAAATAATTATTTCGAAAGAAGAAATCAGTGTTTAATTTAGAATTCTAATTGTAATTCTAGATTTTAATTTGTTATTCCAACTTTAATTTTCTATGATCTAAGAAACTTTACACCAACCAATTAGCTGTTCCAATTGAGGGTCATTTTCCAAATATACTTTACTAGATGTAAAATTACTTTAATGCTTTGATATTTTTAATACTTATTCACATTTATTTCAATTTCGATCTAACACCTATAAAGACTGATTTTTAGTAACTTCTCTTCTAATTTTCAATTTGTTTAGAGGCAGCAGGAATAAAACATTTCTTCATTCTTGAAGCCATAGCCTCTTGGTATTAATTTAAACTGACATCTTTTTATATATATATATATTCTGACCATTTTACTAGATTTGTTTAACGTATAAAATGAGAGTCATACTGTACTGGTTTTACTGTTGGTGGGTACAATCTTAACAACATAAGATACATAGATGACACTGTGGGAGATAAAGAAAGTAAATGGTGGAAACACCTACACAAAGTAGTAAAGGAGAGCAGGAAGAAAGGAATAACCATAAATCATAAGAAGACAAAATGCATGCTTGTCACCAAAAAGAAAAACCCAAGATGTGTACTAGGAACTGGAGATGTCAAAATCAAACAGGTTTGGATATTTAAATATCTGGAAAGTCTTTTAGCAGAGGATGTAAAATGTGACACCAAAATCCAAAGGCACATTGGAATAGTAAAATATGCTTTCCAAAAGCTAAGCAATGTATTAAGAAACAAGAAAATTTCATTAGAAACATAGAAAAGTGTGTTGAGATGCACTCTTCCTTTAGTGCAGTGAATGCTGGACAATTTCCTGACAGAGGAGGAAGAGAATTAAGTCAAAGATGTGGTTCTCCAGAATGATGCTCTGAATATCATGGACAGAGTATGTGAGCAATGAGAAAGTTTTAAGAAAAATGCAAGTAAAAAGGAGAGATATTCTCAAAATCAGAAAGAGATAATTGAAAATTCTAAGACACATAATGAAGAAAGAGGGCTTAGAGAATTTGACACTCACAGGACATATTGAAAGCAAGAAGGACAGAGGGAGGTAGTGAGTAGCCTATCAAATGAGCTTATTGGTTTGAAGCATTTGAACACATTTTATATTAAATTTAAATAAATTCTTTTCAATTGTAGTCATTCTTTTTAGAGATAATAATAGTTTAGTGATACAAGTCATACTAATTAACCCATAGCTAGGGGGAGAAGAGAAGTGTATTTGCATGTAAGTTTTAGAGAAAATGGAAACGAAAAGGACATACACAGCATCAGAAAGTGATAGTTGAAATTTCTAGGCCACATAATGAGGAAAGATAAATTTCAATGTACAAAATATTGCACTACAGTTTATTTCTAAATGTTTTGGGTATGATTTTTCATGAAAATCCAATGACTGATACTGTAAGGCAGCTATAACTCTGAATAAATAACTATAAAACCCACTTACATTTATATAAACAAAAAATACTCATAAAAATGAGAAACAGCATTACGGGGAAATAATAAAACAAGTATTATTTATTATCTGGTTGTATTGTGTTATTGGAGAAATGAGAAACAGTAATAATAAGTAAAATTGTGAGTTTGGGGTCAAATGTAGATCAAATATGGATCACAATCTGACAGAATGATGTTTTAAAGAATAGTGTAATGTAAAAGTGAAACTTTATACAGTCTTTCTTTTATGATTTTTTTTTATAGATATGTGTAATGAGTGTTCAGATGATTTAGCTGGAAAAATACAAGTATTTAGAGTTTTCTTACCTCGAATTTTTGTTGATAATGTTACTATTATGGACTGAAAAGGAAAAGGAGATGAAATTTTCATTGATGCACATGTTAACAACCTGTCTGTGTGAACTGCTTGTCCGATAGTGAGAATGTCATGTGTTTGTGTGTGTAGAGGAGAAAAGTGGTGTCGATTCTCATTGCATCAGAATAAGTGAATTAATAATGATTATAAGTGTTAGAATTATTTCATTCTAATTTTTTTGACACTATAATTAATTTTTATTTATTTATTATGGACGTGACAATAGCCACAGTTTTAATTTTTCCTAAGATCAGTTCTCAACTTGATATCTCTGCTGATGACACATTAAACTACCAGCACATCCAAGCATACAGAACCTGGTATTCACAAGCAGTCACCCATCTAGGTATGGACCAGGATCGACATTGCTTAACTTTGATGATTGTACAGGAACTGGTGTTTCAATATGATGTGACTGTAAGCCTATACTATTGTTCACCCAACAAAAAGCCTAAGAGGCACACAAGTTAGAGGTTTAGTAAATGAGGTCGTAAATGCACTC